GGGAGGGAGGGAGAGGAAGAATGGGGGAGGGAGGGAGAAAGGAGAAAAGGAAAGAAAGGGAGAAAGAGTCCAAAGGCAGACCAGATTCTCAGACAACTCCACTCTGTTGGTCCTCCTTAAACCCGGGGCACCTCACGCCCGCCCCAGGTTGGCGGTTTCCCGGCACTGACGGAAACGGCTGTCAGGAGAAGGCTTCAAGACGCTGTCCTGGCTTTCTCACGGAGGGCACCTGCAGGTCGGTGTCAGTTTGCCACGGCATCAGGATGCATCTCGCTGGGTGTGGTGTCCACCCGTCGTGCACTCCGCGACCTTTTTCCCCCTTTTACCTCACCGAGGGCAGCTGATCCAGGGCGGTGGCTGGCCGTGCATTTGGCCTCTGCACGGCTGCGAGTAGTGGACTTGAGGGTGGCCAGGAGAAGGTGGAGATGGGCTTCGACACAGAGACCACGCTGTCTGTTCCCGAGATCCGTCAGAAAGCACATTTAGGGCATTTATTTGTAAACGAGTGGCCCCAACTTGGGGCATTTGTCACTCTCGATTGTTCTTTAATTATACAAACGGATGTGTCTTGGGGATGGGTGTGACTGAGAATAGGATGCATAAAATATACTATTTGGGCAATAAAATCGTATCTTTAAAATAACATCAGGCCGGATGTGGTGGTGCACCCCTAATCCAGCAGCTCAGGAAGATCACCAGTTCAAAGCCAGGCTTGGCAAAAGCAAGGTGCTCACAGACCCCGTCTCTAAATAAAATGCAAAATAGGGTTGCAGATGCGGCTCAGGGGCTGAGTGCCCCCGAGTTCAATCCCTGGTACCCAAAACAAAAAACAAATGTCGTCAGGACAGAATTCCACGAGCAGGCTCCAGCCCAGGGATCCTAGCCCTCACCACCAAGCGCCACTTGGGGTCTTCCTGCTCTCCGCCCGGGACCCCTGTTCACGACCGCCATCGCTCTCTAACGAGGGCTTCATCCACCTGTGTTCTCGTGATTCCCCCACTGAAGTGCATTCTGGATCCTCACTGTCCACGTCTGCCAAGGACACCATGAAGTCACACCTACGACTCTGCAGGTAGTGGACTTGAGGAGCAGTAGCTCCTGCACCCAGGCTGCAGAGCCGACCGTCCCTCTGAACTCTATCAGAGACCCACCATCCTCCAGATTCATGCCACACCCTCAGGAACGGATTAGAGCCTTCCGTCAAGGAGAACCACCCACTTTTCTTTTCTTTTGTCCCTCTTCCTCTTTGTCACCAGGCCTATTTTTAATACATTTGGCAATCTCGACACCAATGCACTGAGGCAGCTGCTTTCCCTCAGCCACCGAGACGCGGGTGACCTCTGTGCACTGACCTCCTGCGGCTGCTGGCTACACACCCCATGCGCTTTGGTGCCGGTGGACTTTCTCCCGATCATCAGTAACACTGCTCATTTCCTCGAAGCCATGAGTCACCCGGCTTCCTTCTCGGTTCTGATCCCTCTCCACTCCTTCTTGGCAACGCTGGTTAGTGAAAAGGGAACTCCAGGCCCCTTCATCAAATCATTTCTCCATTCCGCCCCCCCCCTTGCCATCTCGTGGAGCCATGAAGAAACCGATTCCCAGCTCCTGAAAAGGAGTCTGCCTCACACTCCTTCTCTGACTCCATTCAGTGGGAAAGCGGAGGAGCCCTCCACCGTCCCTAACCCGCCATCGGCTCTCTCTTGTTTCACCCTAACAGGAATCTTCTTGCACCTGTTTCGGTTCTATCAGGATCTCATTGAGAGTGTGAAGGTTTGCTCTGTCCTGAGCACAGCACTCCCCTGCACAGAGGGTTGTTGTGCAACTGGCAGCACAGCAGATTCCAGCAGGCAGAGCAGGGTTTGCTCTGGAATCAAACACGTGGAGACATCCTGGGAGGAAGATTGAGGAAGGTGCTGGAGGGATGGTGGGAGGGAGGTTGCAGACTCCAGGAAGACAGGCAGGCCACGGTGGCTGGATCGAGTGTGGTGTGTTAGGCCTGGGTGGGGTCCACTCTGATGACAGCATCCTCTGCATCTGCTTGAGCTCTGGCCCAGCTCCCAGATGGCCCTGATGTGAGGGAAGCAGGAAGTGCAGGGCAATGCTTCCCCTTGGTCCCATTTGAGGTCCAGAATCTCCATCCTATCAGCCCATGAGGAAGTATCTCAACCTCCTGGAACCTGAGCTTCCCATCTGCAGGGGATCAGGGTTGAACAGCTGGACGTAGAGGAATGTTCTGCAGGATGCTGGCCCAGAGTGGGCACCGAACAGCAGCAGCTAAAGCCCCTGTGATGGGAGACCAAGAGGAGGTGACGCGTCCTTCAGCAGACACTGGGCCTCCAAGGTGCACACAGGGAATGAGTATCTATTCCAGGGCAGAGAGCACCCGTGTGTGGTGACCTGGGGGCTCAGGAGGACATATCTCACCCAGGCAGGGTTGGCACAGCCGGGGCACCCACCAGTGCTCCGGAGCTTGGCACAAATCTCATCTGCAGGCAGCAATGACCAGTGAGCATTCGAACCCCTGGCAGTCAGTGACTTCAGCTTCAACAGGAAAGACCACACAGTGGCCTCCAGCTGAGAGTGAGCGGTGGGTCTCTGAGTCCCTGTTCCTGCCACTTCCCCGGCAGACTCCGAGCACTCTAGGGGAATTCTAGGGGCAAATTGATGGCATGTCCAGCTTGACCGTGGCTCTCGAAGTCAAGCTAGTGGTTTACTATTGTTGTCTTCCAGAAAGATCTGCCGTGGAACTCAGTGCCTTCAGGGAGCAGACAGATCCTCCTCCAGGGCCCAGGGCTGGTGGGGAAGACAGGTTCACCCAGCACACGTCGGGCCTCAGCCTGCGTCCCATGACGTGGACAGGGCCTGAGCCCTCCAAGGGAGCAGGCGGGTGACTGAGGGAAGCCAGAGGGGCGAGTGGGCAGGAGAGGCCAGAGGGGACAGGGTGTTTGGGGATCTGCACGGCCAGTGCCGGTGAGCGGGGTTTTGGAGCAGGTTGAGTCAGTAGATGGTGGCACGTGCACACGAGGAGACGAGTGAGACGGAGGTGCCAGGCCACAGCGCCTCGGGTCGGGGTTACAGCCCTGTGATGGCAGGGAGAGCCCCACACTGTCCCGGAGGTGACGTGGTCTCTCTGGGGCTCAGTGGACCGTCAAGCACAACATTGACTGGCAGGTGATGGAGAAGCTAAGGCCGAGGCCCCGGTGTGGCTGGCGACTGGCTGTAAGGGGTGTGTCCCACCTCAGCCCAGGGCCCCTGCCACCTCAGGCTCCCGTGGTCCACCCCCCTCCCCGCCTCTCCAGGCCCCTTCCAGCTCTCTGAGTCTCCTTAGCCAGCTCAGCGCTCACCCTCGGGGACCTTCCCTCTGCTTCATGAGGAGGACGGGAAACACCAGCTGATGGTGGGAACAGCCCGCCCTCTATGAGGTGTGGAGACGCCAGGTCTGGGAGGGAGACGCCTCTCCATGAAGCCCCAGAAGCAGGCGTGATGTATGAGCGCGAGGCTGGCAAAGAGCATGCAGAGAGGTCGGGGCACGTGGGACTTGGAGGGTGACAGCCACGGGGCCCGAGATGTGGTCCACAAAATTCTTAGCTCAAGCTGAATCTTGAATTTTATTTGCTTAAACAAAGTACCACAGATGAACATCTTCAAAGAGGAAATTCAAACGCCTTTGACTTTCAAGCAAAGAACAAGGAAACAACAACAACAACAACAAAAAAAAAGCCCAAGGCAGGGCAGGAGCAGTGCGGGCTGCAGAGCCGGCCCTGCCTCCAGGAACGCCTGCCCGTGGGGACCCCCCCTCGGGTCCTGCTCCTGCCTGGAGGGGCCTCTGCCCAGGACTCTCAGCAGCAGGAAGTGACTAAAGGGAAGCCCCGTGGTGCTCAGCACCTGGCCCTCCAGGAAGGGCTGCCTGCAGTGAGTGTGTGGGACTGTCCCGCACACTCCTCCTGGAGCAAGCAGTCGGCATGGAGACTTGTGGAGGAAGCGTTCTTACCTTTGGAGGACATGCATTCCTGTGACTCAGCGTGGCCTCTGGGGGGACCCCTTTTGGGTCAAGAGAAGCATTTCTCTCTATCAGATCCTGGATTTTCTTGTCCAGCTCCACGCTCTCGCACCTGCCCCGGGGACAAGGGAAGGTCACATGTGACAAGGTCATGAAGAACTCTGTAGGGCTGTGAGTTTGTGAACGTGGTGGAGGTGGCACCGGTGCCTGGTTCCTCTCCAGAGTTTAGGGGAAGCAAACTTGGGCTTAGGAAATTCATGAACTTAGGTGCATTCAAGGGCGTGAGCCTGGCAGGGCCGGGATCAGAGGATCTGAAGCACAGCCTGTCTCCTTACCATGTCTGAATACCTGCGACTAACCTGAGGACAAATTCCTAAGCAATTTCCAGCTGCCAAATGGAAAGGCTTCGCATAGCCCAGGAGCACCTGGGAGCTACCTGGAGGAGGACCTCGTCCCACTGCCTCATCCTGGTGAGAACAGAGGGAACCCCCAGCCCTTGGACCCAGGTCCATTTGCCTTCCCTTTGTACCAGGTGGGTGGGAAGGAGAGGTTTCTCACTAAAAGCACAATTCCAGAGCAACGCGTCAGTCGTGTGGTTTGGCTCCTCTGCTTCTGCTGCCTGCTATTTCTCTGACCCGTGGCAGAGAGCACCTGCTGGAGTATTTCCCAATCTCTCAAAACACCCCGCAGAGGGAAGCTGGTGGTGCAGCAGCGGCCGCTTGGTTAGGGGAGCTCCACAGCCAGGCTGTCAGTGCTACCCACCTCCCTTCCTTGAGCCGCTGGGCATGCTAAACAGCTGGCCCCAGCCTGGCCAGCAAGGTCCTCTCCTGTGGACAGAAGACACCAGAATGAAGCAGGAGGGAAGGGGCAGAGCTGGGAGGTACAAGGTGCCTCAAAAAGGCCAACTCAAGAACCCCCTCTAGGGGTCTGCTCCCTGCCTGGGGCTCTGTGGACCTCCTCAGATCTTTGTAATGGGTTCTCTTTCCCTCTTTTGTCATAGAGCTAGTTTTGCTTGGCTTTTTGTAATAAAAAAAAAAAATCCCCACGACTCTAAATAACGAAGCTCAACCTCATATTTGTGCTCCTTGTTCCTGCAGGCTGTGAGATTCCTGTGCCCGTGTCCCGCATCAATCCCACCATCAATTACTGACTTCTGGTTCTGCCATCAATCTTCTGTGGCCCAAACGTTGTGTCTGCACAGTGTGGGGCTTGAGTGGACACTGGAGCTTTCCCAGGACCCTCCAGGGAACATTGTGACCTCCCTTTAGTAGGCTCCCCACATCCTCCAGATTCACGAATTCTCCAGTCCGCAGAACTGGGCTAGAGTGGATGTTAGGCCTCGAGGCAGCTCCTGGTGGCTCCTGACCTGGACTCACCTGCCGAGGGGTCCCCATGCTCCTGGTCCCTCCCCCTCTGTGGGGAACGTGTTGCCCAGCAGTTTTAGCCAGGGTCTGAAATGTGGCCTGGACAGCGGCCTGGCCCCTGCTCTCTCCAATTCCTCTCTTCCTGCTCCCAGCCAGGTGGCCCATCCTGGCTCAGGGAAGGCCCCCACTGCCCCCAGCACCTCAGCCTTTGCTGCTGCTTCTGTGGGACTGCTCCCACATCCTGCAGGTCCTGGCCCCGACGTCGCTCTCTGGAAAGGCTACCGAGCACCTGGAGTGTGGTCCTCAGTCCACCACGACTGCCCCACGGCTCCATTTGCTTTCTTCTTAGACGTTGTTATGATTCTCACTTCCTATTTACTGTCCCCTTCCCCAACCCCATATAGGTCTTTATTCATTGCTCTGTCCCCTGGCACCCAGTAGGGCTGCCACAGCACCTGTCATTGAGCAGAGAGACCTCAGGTGAGGTTAACTCAGAACACCCAGATGCCAAATCCAGTCTGACCATCAGTGGTGTCAGTAGAAAGGTGGCCAATAGCCTGGAGCGTGGGAGTGACCAGCTGGAGCGCAGACCAGCAGGCCCCGAGCCTGAGCACAGCTTCGGAGTGGACACTGGGGCTCAGCACGTGCTGCCTGGTGGCGGCTCGCCCTTGTCCCAACCACCTGTGCTCCTCAGTATTCAGCAGAGCCACCGAGTGCTGCTTTTGCAAGAACAGCCTTCCCCTGCTCCCCACTGTGGGATGTTCCTAATTGCTTTGTTGTGGCAGTGAGCAGGCAGGCCAGCAGTCACCCTGCGGGCTCCTTTGGGACAGGAGGGAAGGGTCTATCTCAGAGCTGCCCTGGCCCCTCTGTTTCCAGCATGGGTCAGCACCTGTTCATGATTCAGCCCCCCCCCCCAGCAGGGGGGCCCTCAAGGGAGAGGCGGGATCCTGGACTTGGCACAGTGTAAGGCTCAGGGTGGTGACCACCATGTCCTGAACTTGGCCACCACAGGGAGGAACAGGGACAGCGAGGAGGCAGAGCCCCACACATGGTGGTAGTCGGGGTTTGGAGAGTGGTCTCACAGTGGACCCTGTGGCAGGGGCAGGGTCTGTGGGCTCAGAAACCCCTCTGGAAACCAAGCGGAAGGGTGGGAAGAGGGAGGGCACAGCCCAGGGCCACCCTGCCCAGACTTGCACTGCTCTCCTGCCTTGTGGCACTGCCATGGCCAGCGTCATTGTCACTGAGGAGCTGTGCCACAGCCCCTGAGACAGCATGGAGATGCCACAGGCGGCCAGTTCTCCCTGAGAGTCAGACGTGGGACCTGGAGTCGCTCCCTTGGCTTCTGTGAGCCCTGCTGGCCTGGTCACCCAACGAGCGCCAGCCAGGAGTCAGGAAGGCTGGGAGCCCCAGCGCCAGCCAGGTGCCAGGCCTGGTGACGGCAACGGTGGCTCCTGGCTAAGGCTCTGCCTGGCACCCAACCTTCTCCCAGAGACTCGGGGAGTCAGGGTCCACACGTCCAGCATACTGCAGGCTGTGTAGAGGGTTACGTCAACCACAGGACGAAACGTAAAACCAGTGGTTTCCCTAGCTCACACGGGACTACCGACTGCGCTTCTCTTGACTCACATCAGAAGAGACAACCTGCCTGGTGAACCCAAGGGGCAGCCAGGGAGGACCGGGAAGTGGCCGAGAGGTCTTCAGGTTATCGTGTAGCCCTTGAACTTCGCGATTAGTTCAAAGGTCAACACTAGAGAAGTCTCCAGAGGTTGTCCAAGGCTGCACGCCTGTGAATGCCATGGTTTAGCGGGTCCTCCAGGGATTATCTGCTTACTTAAATTTCACCCAGACGCGGTTAACCTGTAGAATCCCATCTGGCAGAAAAGATGATCACATCCTGAAGAAAATCATCACCCTCCACAGACACAACAGGTTGCCACATCTTGGAGCTACTTGCAGACACCCAGTCGGAGCCGAGTCCAGAGAGGAGGGAGGGCTCCTCTTGGCCAAGGACAGGCCAAGCTGGCAGGGCTTCAGTGGCCAGAGCTCCTCCCCCACGTCCTCCACCCCCACGGCCACACTTCCTCCGCCCACTGCCAGAGCCACAGGGATGCTTTGATCCTGTGTCCTAAGCCATGTTTTGTTTTGTTTTTAAAGAGGCAGAACAAAGCATATCGTCGAATATGAAACAAGAACAATTGATAGTAGGATCTTCTCTAAGGGAGATATTTCCAGACGCTCAAAAACCCGGGATCACAACCAACTCTCATGACCCAGAGCTAAAAGGGCTGTCTAAAAGCCTAGGGGAAGTAGCTAGTTCCTGTCTTTAGTTTGTTGTTGCTATGATTTGTACTCTTAAGAATGTCTCCAGCTAGTTCAGAAACAAGCTGCTCGATGAGGAGATGGGGTGTGTGTGTGTGTGTGTGTGTGTCTTAGAGGAGTGAGTTCTGGCATTTCCTCACTTAAGTAACAGGAAACATTAACAGGGAGGTCTTGGAAGGGAGAGAAGAAAGAGGGGTGGCTCAGAGAAGTTTTAAACTGGCACTGTCCTCAGGCAAGGAACATTTCTTTAGTTTTATGTGGTTTAATGATTTAAACAAGTGTCTGGGACTTGTATTTGCACATCTGATGGGAAGCCCAGAGGCTGGACAGAGAGTCCGTGTAAGCATGGACCCTGCTGCCCTCTGTCCACCTTCTTGGCCGGATTCCTGCCTATTTCCTCTGTGTCTGTGACACGCCGGGTCCCTGTACTGATGCCCCATGCACAAGCCGAAGCCCCAGGAGGACAATGGGGACAGAGGAACCAGGCTGGCACAGGGAGGCAGTGTGTTGCAAGTGCTGCAGGTGCTACAGGTGCTGCAGGTGCTGCAGGTGACTGCCAGGCTGTGCCAGCTCTCAGGTCCTTCCTTGTGAGGTTGGAAATACTATGCTGACTCAGTGTCGCCTCTAGAGGGCGCTCTGTGTTCAGTGCAGGTGGAAAGGGTCTGATCCTAAGGTTTTCATTTTAGTTCTGAGTTCAGAAGGGTAGAGGTGCAGGAGGCTAGAGGAAGGCAGGGAGAGAATAATCATAGATAATTTAATTATTTAAAAACTTTAAATAATAAATAGTTTTTTTCTTCTTTAATAATATAGACTGCTTCACAAATTCCCATTTTCTCCTTGTGCAGAGACTATGCTAAGCTTCTCTGTGTTGCTCTAATTTTAACAAATGTGCTACCAAGGAGAGCACAATTATTTATTCTTTAATAAATTCTTAAAATTTTGCAATCGTTGTTGAGCATAGTTGGCACATGTCTGTAATCCCAGCGACTTGGAAGGCTGAGGTAGAAGGATCACAAGTTCAAGACAAGCCTCAGTAACTTAGCAAAGACCTATGCAACTTAGTGAGACCCTGTCTAAAAATAAAAAGGGCTGGGGATGTAGCTCAGTGGTAATGTGATCCTGGATTCAATCCCTTGTACAAAAAAAAAAAAAAAAAAGCAACAATTGTTGGACACTTTCATAATAGACCTACAACTAATAGCTTCCCTCCCCTAGCCACTGTAGAAATGCTCAGAGCAGTTCTCAGCAAATACAGAGCAGCCTGCACAGAAGATGAACTGGTCATGACCAGTTCAGCATGTTTTGTAACCCCTGCAGCAACATTAACATGGTCAGGTAAAAGTGGCTCCTGCTCTCTCAGTGGATGGGAGGAGTGAGTTCTGGTGGACTTGGAACACACAGTCAGGGACCAGACAAGGCACCAAGTTGCCAATTGACTAAATCAAAGGCTGGAGCAGTCTGCATCCACTCCTCTCTCTTGCTGTGTTCACATGGATGTGAAATAATCGAGCCTGGAGTATTTTTGTGCCAGAATTAGGACAGAGTCAACAAACTGATCAAATATGAGATAATTTCAACAACCAGATAAACAGTGATAAGAATGCATTGTAAATCATTAAATAACATATTAATCTTTAAGCTATACTCATAAAAAGTTAAACATAAAGGGAGATAAGAAATGTGTTTCTCTATGTTGGAATGCCTACAGTGAATGTAGAGAAAATTACAATACTAGAAAAATCAATACTCAGCAACCATCTTTATAATAATTCAAATAAGAAATGGATGGTAAATCTAGTGACTGAAATTTTAATGAGCTTTGGGATATTTACATGACTTTATAGTATTACCCCCAAATCCTCCATGAATAGCAAAGGAAATACTAAAGAAGGACTAAAGAATCACTTTACATGGGCAGACACCACCTTAACAAGTGACCAAGGTCAAAACCACCTGCCATGAGAAGAATCCAGACTGTAACCGTGTGGTGAGACACAGCAAACCCTGAAGCTCACGTCAGTAGTTTTTCTGCTCAAAGCAAGACCTGACTCTAACACTGCAGAACTGCCAGCCAGCCCAGAGCGAGCTGAGGGACATCTCAGAGTGTCAGGCCTGAGACCTTCCACAGGGTCAGCCCACGGATGTCAAACAGACTGCGGATGGATGACCCTGGACAGGGTCCCTTTCCCAGTCCCGTTGGAAGGGAAGACTGTTCACAGGATAACTGGCAGAACTTGAATGGGGCTTGGGACTTAGGTGGTAGAAACATGTCCACGTTCATCCTCTGATGTCCACGATTATTTTGTGGCTAGAAGATGATCTTGTTTGTAGAAAAAAAACACACACAAAATCACCCTGTAGTATCCTACTTCCAAATGACCAAGGAATGGTCTTCTTGTAGATTTCTTAAAATTTTCTGATAAGTAGGAAGTCATTTTAAAAGTGAAATTGACATTATTGTCTTAAAGAATACTAAACTTTAAAAGTAAGGTGTGAGTTGGTACTCAAATCATCTGTGCTCCACGGAGGAATCATCTTACAGAGTGAAATCAGCATTGCACTATGATCATGCAGAGGACCTGGGATGCAGCCCATGAGCTCCCTTGGATTGTGGGATCACTGCAAGCAAAGCCACCATGATGATTCAGTGTTTCCCCCTTAAAACATGTGTGAACCAGATTACTTCAGTGGTGTTTTCCAGACCATAAAGTGAGATGAAATATTCCCTCCTCAATGTTTAAAGTCTGACTGTAACAGATACAAAACAAACAACCCAGAGCCTGCCTGTCTTTCCCTCTGCCCTGGTCAGCGGGCACTGCACCCCCAGGGCTGTGCATCACAAGCCAGAGGCTCAGCAGAACCCCCGACTAGAGAAGATGGCCACACAGCAGGGGAAACATTGCTGTTCTCATTTAATTGAACAAATATTTCTTTCAGCCCTCTTTTTAATAAGGAGCATTAGCCTTCAAAATCAACTACCACACCATCTTGATTTCAAATGAGATTCCAAATGAAGGGAATATGCATAAAATGCTCATAAATGTTTTTTCCTTAAATATGCACTTTATGTTTAACTGTAATGCTGCAGGCCTTGGCTGTCAGATTACGTCACATGGCCTAAGTGGACTTTTACCACAGCTTTATCTTTGGGTGTTAAAGCTGTCAAAGGAACTAGGGGCCTTCTCCACCTTGTTCTGAGGATACAGTGATCATTTACTCCTAAGTGAAGGTCAAAAACAATGACTTGGCTTTATTATGTCACATGCGACCATTGACTTCATATGGGAATTACCCGAGGTCATAACTGTACCAGAAACCAGCAAAGTAAAACAGTCATTGGGAGGAAATTGCCTCTTGCTCTTCATATCTCTTCTTCACAGGTTTGGCATGAAAGCAACTCTACCATTTGTAGAAATGCAGCTACAGGGAAAAGGTCAATTCCCAAACCTGGGCCTGTTGGGACCCTTGGGTCAACCCAGGGGTGACCACTGAGGCACCTGGCATCTCAGAGAGCTTCTGTGGGGCGGGACAGCACTTGGGTTAAGGCAGGGACCGGCAGATGGAGAAGAGGCATTGGTGACAGGGACACAGGCCCTGCTGCAGAGTGGCCTGCACCTCACCTGGCCCGCCCTCCTCCAGATGCAGGCAGTCAGCCCCTGGATGGCCGAGGACTCTTGATGCCAACAACAGAGCCAGGCTCTGCCCTAGAGAGTCTACCTGCCTCCGTCCATCGGCAGAAGCCCTGTGCAGTAGGAATGTCCCTGCGTTACAGTGAAGCAGTCGGAGACCCCTGCCCGGGTGAGCTCCTCCCACTCCCCCCAGGGGAATGGTTGCCCACGTCCTCTCCCAGAAGTAGCTGGACATGGCCCCACACCATGAGGATAGATTTGGTACCTAAAAGTAATGCTGTGATAAAAACCCTTTTTAAGTTCACATTTTTAGTTCACTGAAGGCCTAGAATTAGGACAGATCCACTGTGGAACTGGCCCAGGCAGGTCGTTTAATGGATAGCGCCTTTCCCAAAACAAACATGGATCAAAAACAGTGAGGAAGGCCAAGGAGATGTTGGATATTTGGACCTGGAGGGAGAACAGTCAGCGTCTGGGACAGGAAGTCACGTGGCCAACTGTGTAACAGAGATCGTGACAACTGCATTTGGAATTCCAGTGAGGTTTGGAAATCCCAGATCCCGTCACACTCGCTTTTCAGTGGAATTATTAATTACCCAAAATACATGTTTTGAAGTTGAAAAAGTTAGTAAGTCCTAAAAAATACATATTCATATTTAACCTAAGTATGAATATCCAGAAAAAGTCTCCACAAAAGCTAAATTAGTAAATAGGAAAACAAGTACTTTAATTGATTGTATAGTGATGATCTTGTAACCATTGTCCTAATAATAAGCTCTCCTTGTAGAAGGCTGAAAATCACGGTAGATTCCACCCGACTTTCTTTCCATATGTACCTGTGCCTTCAAAGACGGGCTGGGGGCATGTAAGGCTCCGTCTTCTTTTCCTTATTGGCACACGCAGGTCCCTGAAGCTTGTCTTTCTGTAAGTGAGGTGGTTCCTGTCCACCAGCAAACAGCTCAGTCAAGCATCTAGCCTAATGGAGCCACCCCGGCTGGAGGCGTGAGGCCAAGACCGTGTGCTCAGGGCACAGACGTGGGCTGAAGCACCCTGGGAGCACCTGGCTGCTTGTCCCTGCAGCCTGAGACCCACAGCTGTGGAGGGATTTGGTTTTCAGCTTTGACGCTCAAGATTGGGGGCGTCCCACCCCAGAGCTCCTGGAGAGAGCGGGGCCAGCTCAGGTGTGCACAGGCCCGTGGAAGGCCACTGGAGAGCTGAACACAGGCAGACGTGGACGGACACAGGCTCTGAAGGAATTCAGGCAAAATGCAGAAATCCTGCCCCAAACAGGTGAGCTGCCATGAGGGAGAAATGAGGAGGAGAGCCCTAGGAAGAGGCCCAGGGCCTTCTCGGGTGCCTAGGACCCACCAGCAGGAAAGTCGTCCCCGTTGTGCAAGGAAGAGTCTCTCTGGGGCCAAGGTCCAGGGTCTCTGTGGATCCGGGTTAGGAGGGTTTCATGCAGGCTTCTGTCAGTTACCCGGGGATAAAGGAAGCAGTGACAGGTTGGAGCCATACAAACCAAAAGGCCAAAGCAAGGAGAATAAACCACACAGGCATCGCACGAGCACAGGGGCCCGGGTAGAGGGAGCACAGGACCCGCATTCGGAAGAAAAGCAACCAAGACGTGGGCTTGACCTCGGAGAACGAACCTCAGGGGAGGGAGGCTTGTGCGCCACAGAGCAAGTTGTTCTGCTTCAGTTTTGGCTTTCTTTTTTTAAAATGACTGGATTTTTTTCATTCATTCTGCAAATGATCATTCAGTGCTGTTTATGGGCCAGACACTTTTCTTGGTGGTTGACATGTTAATGAACAAAACAGGAAAAAACAGAACCCACCCAAGTCTCATGGAGCTTACATCCCAAGGTTTCTCTTAAAAACAACACAAACTGCCCCTGTACCCTGCATCTGGAGTCAAGTTCGTTGATAACCATGGCTTTGAACATCCACTGAAGGCCGATGGACTGATCAAGAAGATTGATTAAGGCAGTTTTAAAGACCACATCAGGGCTGGGGATGTGGCTCAAGCGGTAACGCGCTCTCCTGGCATGTGCAGGGCGCTGGGTTTGAGCCTCAGTACCACATAAAAATAAAGATGTTGTGTCCACAGAAAACTATAAGAAATAAAATAAATATTAAAAAATTCTCTCTCTCTTCTCTCTTAAAAAATAAATAAATAAAAAATAAAGTACACATCAGCTGGACATCTGTAAGTGGGTTAAGGACAGCGCTGACCCAGGAAGGTGCAGGCAGAGCCAGCCGTGCTCCTCCCAAAGGCCAC